TATCGTCGTGAATAAGTCACGACTACACGTGAAAGTTACGAAATTTTTAGTGATATGAAAGAAAATCTAACGACACGCGAATATTACAGTGCATAAAACGTTCTTTGATGATCAGTAATTTTGAATTCCCTGAATTTCTGTAAAGATTATTTATCCTTAATGAAATAATGAAAATAAGACTTTTCGAGGCCAATTATATTTAACGATCATTTGCATTGAAAATTTTCGATAAATAAGCCCCTCGATTAGAATCGTCCATGACATTAAGTGCCTACGTTACGTAATTAAGCTGCGTTAAATTTTCGTTAAGAGCAAATCAATTTCGTCGAGAAATTCCGTTCGTGCCGAATTGCGTCGCGCCGACAATCAAAATTCCGTCGAAATTTTTCCGCTTTTTTGCGCTTCTCACGTACGACAGTCCTCCCGCATTTTGTTATCATTTATATTTGTCGCTAATTAATAAGGTTAATCAGTATTCGCCGCGGGCGGCGCAAGTATGCCCGCGTCCGTGAAAGCGTGTCGTGTTGATCGTTGCAAATCGTATCGTGATGTCGAGCCTGAGTATTTGCTCTGCCGAAGGTTTATATGCAGGAACTTCCGCGTTAAGCTCCGGACATACAACAGCGTCTCGAATGCAAACTTGACGTGAAATGCTAACACGCATTCCTGTACAGTGTCATCCTACATACGCACACACGCGCGACGTACGTCCCGCACTTGTACGGTCATATTCAAACTTGCGTGGATTGTATTTTTCAAGTACACCAAAAGAAGCTTTCGGGCCCGCTTGCACACGCTTCAAGTGTGTAATTATTACCATTAACCATTAAGCCGAGACTTACGCAAAGTGAAGGCAGATCACTTGTCTTGCAAGTCAAATGAACTCATATTATCTACGTGAGATTTTATCTCACACTATAAATTAATATTGTATAATATTATTATATCTTGCTCTATTCCTTTTCTCCATATTTAATTTCATTATATAGTCATGTTATACTATGTTATTACAATATGATGTTAAATCAAATATTACGTGTCGCATTTTCGAGACTGAGCTTTCCTGCGACGTATTTTATTAAATTTTAAAAGATGCGAGACGCACGCGCGACCTAAGCTTCAAGCAGTCGGACTTCACAGTTTAAATTCTTTTTGAAGGCTGATGTTTTAATGAAAATTTTCATAGGGTGCCATTTGGCACCGCTGGGATCTTCCCGAGCGTAGGCTCTAATTAGTGCACCAATTAGGAAGCTCTCTCGCAGTGTTAAATATTTAAACAGTCTTTATCGTACTGTGTGTGTTTATAAGCGAAAAGGTTCTCCAAAATAAAATTATAAGCCATTATGAATTAAAGGTCCACAATGAAGAAATAGTAATTAATCTTTCTCGATACGCGAATGTTTTTTAGTTTATTGAAGTGCCTTTCTTTGAACGTATTTCTTATCAAATGATTCCATAATACCGTTTGATAAAATCAATAAATCCTGATGTAGGAAATGTTTCTCTGTTTTGAAAACTTAATTAATGTATTTAGTTGGAAATTATATGCAGATAGATATATAAATGCATAGATATCTAAAAAATGTGTATTATACAATGTGTATTATACAATAAAAATATGTATTATACGTTTATAAAATATAAATTTATTCTATATATGAATTTCTCGCCTCATATAGAGTATGTTAATTAATTAATTGCGACATTAAATCATACTTTTTTAAGATGATACTGACTAATTTCTACTTAATGGTTAATGGTAAAAAGCCAATACTTATTAGTGAACAATATCTGCGGCAGCAATTCCCTACTAGTTTAGGCGAACCGTTTGAAAAAGTAATCGCTGGAAGTAAATATACTAAATGATGCGCTAGAATTTATTCGATCGTTCGTTAGATAAAATTAACATAACATTGTAAAAGCCGCCACAACTATGTTGAATCTAGCTTGATTGATTTCTGGCTTGTAATTAATAATCTCAAATTATATACAAAATTTATATTAAACGAAATAAAATTTATATTAAACACAAAATTTATATTAAATAGAACGAAAAATTAAAGAGAACATCGAGAATTAGAAACATGCCGTTGTCCATTAAATTTTCTTACTGCTAAACTTTAACTTTATTGGACAAGTTTTAATCCGTTTATATATCGCTGTCTCGTATAGTGGTAGAAACTGATTAGCGATACATATTTGAAACAGATAATTTATTTTTTAATTAACGCGTTAATTATCTCGGAATAAAATATTGATTTTCAAAGTAATCGATAAACTCGAAGCATCGATATTTAAGCCTTTTATGTCTTTTTTTATAAATGAATGATTGAAATACGTCGCATAAACGATCGACTACTTTTTAGTGCATCCATCATACTCCACGACTGAAGATTGACGCTGTTATTGATACACGGTATAGCCTAATGTGATATTCATAATACCATAAAAAACTTCCACGCACATACAAACATACTCTTCCCTCCTCCCCCCGCCTTACTTTCTCTCACACTTTCTCTCTTTTATTCGTTTTTTTTCATTCTCTTTTGTGCAACACGATATGAAAGTGCATGTGACACAAAACGATTCACGGTGTATCTTAAACAGATGTATAATATTATATAAAAATGAAGTAAATATTGTAGCCGACCGAGAAAGGAGGTGCATTTGCATTACGAAAACTTAATAAAGTGATATGTCAAAGAACCGTTGTTAGCCTTTCTCCATTACAACCGATACCTCATTTCCGGAATGTACAGAGCCGCTTCTGAACTTATAAGATATACTAGCTGCTTAAATTTAATGGTAATTACTTAACCCACAAAAAGCGAAAGAGGAAACTGCTTTTATAGTAAAATTTTTTATATCATAATTTCTCTCTATATGAGAGGAATAGTACGTCACACGAAGTTCTCTCTCACCATTCTCTCTTTCTTCCCCTTTTTTTTCGATAGATGGAAAATAAAAAAGGAAATGAAGTAAAATTACTGAAAGTTATGCGAAACTTCGATCTCGTTTATCTCGAAACGAACTTTCGTAATATTGCTACGTAATATTCATTGTTACGCTGAGAATTTCATATTTTATTTCGAATAAATGGACAAAAATTCATTGCGTGTGAAATTAAATTCCTAATCCTCGAGGAAAGACATAAATGCTTTAAAATCTCTATTACTCCCCCTCATGAGAAGTAATGCTTACTTAGAGCAGCTGTCGCTCTTTCGCTGGGCCATCTACTTAATTTCCGCGGTATGAATGCCGCTCCGAAAGAACTTTCATCGTTTGTTCAATTTAACTTACTGATTATCACATGCCGATATACTGATATGAAACTTTACACGTCTCATTTTGCCCCGACGACATGTTGATATACAAGACATATGTTGCAAGACTAACGGTCAAAAATAACCGTTGACAAATAGAGGTTACTTTTCGTAGCCACGAAAAAATGGTAATGTAAACGAAAGTTATCATAATTTTGTCTATTTTACACCGATTATCAATACTCACAAAACATCGATGAAGTCAATACGATGTAGTGGAATATTCCTCGTCACTCAACAACAACGTCTTGATTCGATATTCTCAAAGAAACTTTCGTTAATATTCAGAATACAATTCAATGTATCTTACGTGTAACGTCTCCAACGTTCAAATAGGACGACAAATTGCTAATCTTTTCCATATACTATGCGCCATCTGTAGGTAGAGCATCTATAACATAGCGTCACCTAGGAGCATCTAAAGTCACTAGATATATAGGAGCATCTATAACATAGCATCACCTAAGTTTGATAATTCTAGGCATGAATATTAATGTTTTTTTCTGCAATGTCTTTATTCTGCAACGTCTTTATTATGCAACGTCTTTATTATGCAGGAAAGACTTTGACAGCCATAATCGTGGCCATTTTCCATTAAATTGGAATTTTCTAATTCCATCTACAGATTTAAACTACGTAGCCAATGTCTATTATTATTTTTCTTTTTCAATGAGTAAGAAGTAATACCCACAATTTCATGGTTCTGTTCCGTATTCTAATCATGAGTGGGTTACATTAATTAGACAAAAATAGACGATCAACCTATGTCTGTTCTTGTCTCCCCATTGATGAGCAATAATCGCAGCGGTAGAGACGAGACAAGTTATTGTTCGCATTCAGAAAAAGCTGCAGTACACTGTTGTAAAATTCGTGAATCTAATTGACATATATTCTTAAATTTGACTGAATCCAAGAGCATACATCAATAAAATTCACAAATTTTGCAATAGTTACGAAGCAGTTTTCTCTGCTACATAACCATTGATGATTTTATTACAAAGCAAAGTTCCTTCTCCCGGTCCTACATTTCAAATCTTATTCATTCTCATACAACTCAAATAATTCATAACATATAAAAGTTTATATTATTTTTATTTTCTGATAACAATTATTTTGACGAAAATGTTTTCTTAATAAATAAATAAAATGGTTTTAAGAAGGTATTCTACTTTGAAAAAAAAAACGTACTTTTTTACATTTTAATTTTTGTATTTTTAAAAATACACCTAATGCAAATCTATAAAATGAATAACGAGTTCATTGAATCTGTTGATCATACCGTCGACTTCTATTTGTGTTGTATTATATTATAAAATAAAAAACAATTTTAGAGTATGCGGAAAAACGTTAGGGATTTTAGAAATATTTTATTCTACAACTAATCAATGAATTCAACAAATTTCCCTCAAATTTCCAACAAATAATAATTGCCTGTATATTATACATTTGTGTATATATATGTGTGTGTATATGTGAGTTACTATTTTGAAATTTTTTTTATTTAAATTATATAAAAATGAAGTTAATTTAAATAAGAAATATGTATGTATGTGATAGCTATGAACCAAATTGAAAATTTTACTATATAAAGTAAATGTTATATATAAAACATGATTAAATGTTAAAATATATAAAATGTTGATTTAATTTTTTAAGAAATAAAGTATCATATCAATATTGTGTTAGATTTATATATTTTTGGTAAATTCGTATATTGAACGCATCACTGACATATCATCTCGTTTCAACAACCATTGTTTGAGAAGTTCTTCAATTTTTTTGGCATCAACCTACAACAGAGATAATGTTAATGTTAATTTTAACCATAATAGCAATGAAAAAAGAAAATATTTTATGTACATAATATAATACTTTACTATTCATAATATAATATATAATAAATATTTAATATAAAATTGATACAAAATTGATAAAAAGATATGCATTTTTAAACATACCTTATTTATATCGATGTTAGTAATTTTCAAACCCTTTATTAGACTTGTAATATCTATAATCCATATCTGTTCGCAAATTGTAGCTATCCATAAATTGGATGTTAATCGACCTATTATATGATTGTTTTCAAAATTTGATCTGTGTATAAGATAGTTATTAGAATATATCACGAGATGAAATATATAAATTATTGTTATCGATTCAGACTATACCTTATTGTTATTCTATCTCTATCAATAATCCAAGGTACTATCGTTCTTATTTTTAAATTCTCTTTCTTCTCATTCTTTTTATTGTTTATTTTCTCAAATAATTTTAAAAGCCTATTTTTATTTCTTTCCGAATCTATTTTATTTGCTTCAGTTTTTTTCTCAATCTTTTTACATTCCTTATATTCGTCTTCTTCCTCTGCAATATCTCGATAATAACCACGTTCTTCGGACGACAATTGCTTCCAGAATTCAGTAATTTTTTTTGCTGTTTGGGGTGCTGTCAATGTAGGATTTTCTTTCACAACTAATCGTAAAACAGATAGTAATTAATATTGTTATAATTTATTTTTGTGCTTTTCCGCAATAACATTATTGGATATAGATATGTGAGTCTTTAAAGAATTTTATAATAATGAATTTAATACTTATATTACATACCTTGCGATCTAACATGTTTTAAAAATTTAAGTTCTTTATGGTCAACATGGGTTTTATTTGATTCTAATATTTCATTATTTTCCTTAGCGAAATTTTCACTTAATTGGTTTCCAACAGCAAAAGCAGAGTTTACATCTATACCACTCTATCATATTGAATGATAGAAACAGACATAATTGAAGCATAACTAAATTTAAAAGAAATATGTACATGAGTAATCGTAAAACTATTAAAACTGTACCTTAAGACCAGGTATATGTCCTTTGCTCCATGTTTCTAGTGAAATTTGTTTCTTCTTCTGTAACTTGTTCCAGTTATTCTGATTTTCATTTGTAAGAATACTTAAATTTTTAGTTTCTATATTCTCATCTACAAAGTCAAAATCTTCACCAAGATCTACTATAGGTAATTGACTCAAAGTTTCACGTTCTTCTTGTCTGTAATTTATATTAATTTAATTTTTACCTTTATTTATATTTAATGTAATTAAGATGTTGATATCATATTAGATTGTCTGCAACTAAATTTCAATTTTCTCAAAGTATTATATTTTTTATAATATTCTAAATATAAATGTATTTTACAAGATTTTCTCTCATTCTTCTTCTCCCTTGCTACCACAAGAAAACAAACTGAAATTATACTATATATATTGAAAACATACACTGATATGCTATTATTAGATGAAGATGGAATGGGAAAAATATCATTTGAATCAGAATCACTTAAATTCGGTGCTTGTATATGAGTTGCTAGAATTAATGCATCTTTATAATGTTGCTGATTATAAGTCTGATTAACCCCTTGTTGTTTGTTCTGCAGAGCTTCTTCGCATTCATTTATAACAGCATTATGGTGTTTAGGTATAATTTTTTCTTTAATTATATCTTCCTGCATATTCTCTTGGGCATGTATTTTTCGTTTCTTACAAGCAGACCATTCATTTTCAATAATACCCTCATTTGTATTAAGTATGCAATCTTCGTAACAGCTAGATGCATCATCAGATACATTTTGCTCAGCGATTCTCAAAAATTTAAGCCCATAGAATGTTCTTATGCATTTATCTATGGTATCAAGGACTTTATTCTACAAATATTGTAACACACAATTTATAATATTTATATATACATATATATCATATTATCTTACCTGATCTTTGAAAAGAATTGTATCTTTATTTGGTTCTAAGTTGACATCAATGTTAATTGGTTCTAATACAATATACACAAGAAATACCACCTTCTTTCTGCATGACTCTTGTTCAAAATATTCTAATATTGTATTAATTACTACCTACAAATATGAGGAAGAGAAATGAAAAGATCAGGAAGGAAATGAAGAACAAAAAAAGTAAAAAAAAAACAGATGAGTGTGAATTGCATTGTGATCTAGTTTGATTTTAATTTCAAAAATATCATTTAATAAGATATCATTTATAGTAAGATATTTAATAAAATTAAGTATCATTTTTAATAAAATTAATAAATAAAACATACCTTTTCAAGCTCTTTATGTTTAATAGACCTATTGTTAACAAAAATATACTGTAATCCAGAATGGGTAATTTCTGATAAATCCTTCACTTGTTTTGAAGGTAACATTAATTGCAAAACAAACTGGAAATTTGTCAAGATATATATTGTGTACAAGTGTGTTGTTGTTAACTTTATTTAAATATAAATATATAAAATATTATTGATCTTTTCAGAATTATTTCAGAAATATACATACTCCTATATTTTTAGGTTCAATCCATTCCATGTTAGATGTAATTTTTCTACCTAGTACATGACATGCAGCTTCTTTGATATTATTTAAACTTGGTTTTGCAAATATAACATTGTTATCAATTCTGAATTGAATTCGTATATTTGGTTTGCATATACTAAAACTTTGTATCAATGTTTCTAATAATTTAATATTTTGATTAGCTCTTCTTGTATTGATAATCATCTGTCTCCTCACAGGTAATTGCTTAAATAAATTTTTTGCTTGTACTGTAGTACCTAATAAATTAATATTTTATAAAAATATATGAAAATATGATTATATTTCATACAATATTATTATATAAATTTTAAAGAACAAATATCTGCAAGTTCATTTACCAGTACTTCTATGACAAGGTTCATATTTTATAATTTGTCCATCATGGTCCATTGTATATGAAGTCCCAGCAATATCTTCCATTGTTTTTGTTATAATAGTAACTTCTGCCACTGCACACAGTGCATTAAGTGCTTCTCCTCGGAATCCAAATGTATATAACACATCTATGCATAATAAAGATATGAAAATTTAATCTACTACATACTTAAACTTTATATAAGACTGAAATATAAATATTTTTGTAATAATTTAAATATTTTAAAATGAAACATTACCTAAGTCTTCAAAATTTGATATTTTAGATGTATATGAAGATAAACCCATAAATAGTGCATCATCTTTAGATATGCCACAACCATTATCCTTTACTTCTATCAAAGATGTACCATTATCTATCTGAAATTTAAAACAATGTACAATTAGTCCATCTTTTTAAGAGATATATTTTACAAATATATCGAGTATAGATTTATTACATACAAGATTAATTTCGATGTTGTCCGCATTAGCATCAAGTGCATTCTCTATTAATTCTTTAACTGCAGAGTAAACAGAAGTTATTACTTGCGTAGTAGTGATTAATTTCACAGTTTTTACATTTAAGGCTAAAATTGGCATTTTTTAAATTTATTCTGTCGAACAACACTTTTATAGAAAATATAAATGTTTAAATCTATCTATCTACATGATAATTGCACTTAATCAAGTAAATTTTTACTATTTTTATATTTTTCACTCTTGTTTATTCGACAAACGTGCTGCATTTAATTTCGAGCACCGACGAGACGCCGATTCCAGTGATGACAAATCGTGGGAATTTTTCCCATAGAGCCCATTTCCCATGAGAGCCTACATCTCTTGTAAGGGGAAGTAGAGTGAGCAAGAATCGTGTTGCACGGATTATTTTATTGGCTACAGACCATCTGAAGATAAACTTAAGGAAGTCTTAAATATAAGGCCTGACTATGAATACGGGTGTTAATTATGAGAAAAATGATGATAGTTGCGCAATCAAGATAAGCTTATGGTAACAGTGATCAGTATGAAGTTATTAACACATCTTACTGTAAACGCCTACAGACATATAGGATATCGAGGAATCACTCTGCCAACTTGCTCTATTGGTTCGAGAAAAATGGCGACTGAAGTCGAAAAGGCACAGTCCGCCGCTCCGGGCGGTGATACGATATTTGGAAAAATACTACGCAAGGAAATCCCATGCAAGTTTATCTATGAGGATGACAAGGTAAATCATAGTATATTTAATGAAATTTGTGTGTGTCTTGTGAAACCTTACAGACAGATTTATGATTTATCACTGCCTTTCTACTTCTCTGTGTATGATATTGTTATTATGAATTTTTGCTTGTAATTATTACATAATCGTGTAATCTGTTCTGCTGAATTACCAGTTAAATTGCTCTTTAATTAATATAAAGGTAGAATATGCTTATATACAATCATTAGAATGTAATTAATATATCTATATTTTACAGTGTGTTGCATTCAACGATATAAATCCTCAAGCACCTGTGCATTTCCTGGTGATTCCAAGGAAAACAATACAACAACTATCCAAAGCTGATGATGAGGATCAGAACTTACTTGGTCACTTGATGATTGTTGCTCGCAAGGTTGCAAAACAAGAGGGTCTAAAAAATGGATTTCGTCTAGTTGTCAATGATGGAAAACATGGTGCACAATCTGTGTTTCATCTGCATTTGCATGTTCTTGGTGGTCGACAGTTACAATGGCCACCTGGCTAATTGTTGGTACGGTTAAATATACAAATGTGACTTCAATTTCACAATTCTTGTTTACTATTAATAAAATACTAAAAATATGAGATGCATATTGCTAAATATGTCAATAATTATGTGATTGGTAAAATCAGTGAAGTATTTGTATCTCTGTTAGAAACAAATACAAGTCAATTTAGCAAACTATTAAAAACAATTTATTTTTTATAATTGAATTCTATGTTCATATATAATTTATATGGAATGTAGCTCTGCCATTATCTTTTTTCGTATACTTCATATACAAATTGAATTCCTTTTTCTTCTTGTATGTCTTCCGGTACTATTGGATCTCTGAAACCAAATGTTATTAAAAAAATGTTATAAATAAAATATTAAAAAATGTACAAATAATTATGAATACTTACTGTACCAACACAAAGTTATTTGGAATAGGTGGAAAGAAAGTGTCGCATTCGAATCTTTTTCTTATACGTGTGAGGTACAATCGGCCAAAATATGGGGATTCCATGGCTTCCTAGGGCAAAATTATTCGGTAATTATATTTTTAATTCCAATTTAAATTGGATTAAATGTTTGACAATAATTTATCGACATATATATATATATATATATATATATTACACATTATAATTTTCGTAGAAAATACCTTGTATACTTTACTTCCACCTATCACCCATACTCTTTCTACTTCATTCTGTATTTTTGTGATTATCTCAAGAGCATTTGGTATACTTGTACATACTATCGCCTTATCTCCATAATTCCTAAAATTGGCATATTTTATTTTTTGTTACTTATTTTTCTTCAGAAAAACATAGTATTTTATTGCATCGTTTAATTCGTTTATAACTACATCAATTGCGACGTTAACACCATATTTATGCGGTTTCTCAGAGGACGGTACGTTTCAGGCAAACAATCCCACGTGCGCCGACCCATTAGTACGACATTCTTTTTATTTTTGTCTTTTGTCTCGGTTGTCATGCGTGTAAAGTACTCCATTTCGGTTCTACAAATCAAATAGCCTCGCTTGTGGATAAATGCTCCCCAATTTTTCAGTAATAATCTCTTAACCATATGAACAATTATTATTATTGTAGTAACAAACTTACTTTAAACGCCACGGTAAATCACCCTTTATCCCGATGCCCATATTTTCGCATGCCGCAGCGATCAATTCTAATTTAGGTAACATAATGGCATGCGAAAGAAACCGAAAAGCTACAATCCTAAAACATATACCAATATAACCATTAACTTGTCGATAAATAACGATAAACGATAACGATAAATAAATTGTAATTAGTACGACTATACGACTATCCAATCAATGTTCGAAAGATTTAGGATTTTTAATTAACAAAAATAGTAAAATTGGTATTGATATGATTACAATTTTAAACAATAAAGATACTGATCGCGCAATTGTGAAAATGGCGACTGAATTACAGAACATAACAGTATACGTTTATTTTTTGTTACCATAATTATCGAATGATTCATAAAATAATGAGGCGACTCGATTCCTTTCATCTATGCTGACATTTTTACACAATGATGTAGTGGGTCTGTTCTTTTTGAAGAACTTCTGAACTGGTGCAATAGCGTGAAAGAAAAGGTATCTTTTTCATTCTAACTTATTCCACTAGTTCAGAAATTCTTCGAAGAACAAACCTTATGATCAGTCCGCATGTTATACTGCCGTTAACAATGATTAGGACAATTAGGACCACTGTCTATTTTCGTTTAAATTCAAGAAAAAACCAAGATAAACATATAATTTAACTATCAGATAACTTACCAAGAAGTTGGAACAACAGGTCCTTAAAGATATCAACAGAGAGAAGAAGGAGAGAGGTCACGGGCCGTTTTTAGCCGAGCCCAGTGTGAGGCGCCCTCTGTACAACCGTGCCAGAGAGAAGCCTGAGAGCGGGCATGGCTGCATTTACAGCGTTATGGAAAAGTTGGCTGATTCGAAGCGCCAACTGGGTCCATTTTTCATGGACATGAACTACTAAGTCAATATCCACGATTTGTTAGTACTATTCCGTGCTATGTCCATAATTATTTGGTTCTGTTTTGTGTTATGTTCACGAGCGAGCTAGATTAGTTAGATAAAAACGAAGAATCGGTCTTTATCTCACCACCAGCGAATAGACAATCGCGACGAAGCGAGCCAGCAGCGATGTTATCGTAAGGCAGACGTCGCCGTCCCCTCCTTTTCATCTTCGACTGTGCGATTTTTAATCAGATATAGGAATATATACTTTGTTTTAATTTAAATATTACTTGGTAAGTACTTCTGAAACGTATTCAAGAGTATCTATATTGGCCCATATTCTGAACTATCTTTTATCGATAAAAGTACCTCTAAAAGAAAATTACGAGCCACCTAATTGACTGAGAAGCCTCATTTAATACATTTTTGTCGAGTGTTCAAAATACGGACCATTGTCTTGTATGTTACATTTTAGTGAATATTTGTTTCAGGCATTTACGAGCCGTTTTCGGTGTCTTCGGTTGATCACAGTCTGTCAAGTAACCTAAAAATATGGTAATTTTGAAACATGTTGATTGGAAACGCGGCAAATATGTGAACGTTATGATTGATAGGCTACAGGACAATAGATACAGAATTCCAACTCGTTGGAAATTTTGTCGCTGTTGCCTGTTCCGTGTTCCATTCTGCATTGGCATATGCATTCCCTAGGGCCGTATTCATGCTCCGGTCTTATATTTAAGATCGTCTTAAGTTCATCTTCAGATGCTGTATAGATCATTTCATTGGCTATAGAATATCTGAACGTGAACTCAAGACGGTCTTAAAAATTAAGATCCGACTATGAATACGGCCCCTAGTGTCGGAACTTTCTGTTTCTATTGATATGCTATCGCTATCATTATTGCCTAACGCTATCGCTATCGCCTAGCATTGTATTTTGGGCTTTAAGTCTCTTGCACAATGCCAGACAACAGGCAATAAGAATAAAAGTAGACCAATCACAATAGATTATTCTTGTAATAGTCGATTGTGATTGGTCTATTTTTATTCTTATTGCCTGTTGCCTGGCATTGTGCAGAGGGCTTTAGCCTCGCTCACGTCGCTGAGCGAGAACGAGAGCGAGAAAGAGGGAAAGATATTCTCGCTCGCGTCGCTGAGCGAACATGAGAGCGAGAAGGAGGGAATGATATCTCTCTGTCGCTCGGCGCGCCGACGATTGCCAAGCACGTGGTCCACACGAATAATTAAAATATTCGATATTATCATTGCTTTTTAATTACCTCCAGGCCCCTCGGGGCCTCTTGATCAATATAAAAATTTACCTAGAGCTGACAGTCTTTAATATTACCTCGTTGGTGGCGTAGCTAAAGCAGTCGGTATTATCATCGCTTTTCAATTACCTCCGACCCCCAACCCCTGAGGTCCTCTGGGCTGATACGAAAATTTACCCAGGGGCTGTCAGTCTTTATATTACCAAAGAGTAACCTGAGAGCAGCCAATACGACATTTTCTGCGATACCGACTTTCCGCACTGGGAAAGGACGCCATCTGCATCCATTTTGAGAGGGGAACTACGATAGTACATCCACTTTCAGGTCTCGGTGGTAAAATCTGCATATGGTGGAAGTCCATGCTACATCCACTTTCAGGCGGTTTATGTCCGTGCTGCAATGACAGTTGCCATCTCTATGCCAGACTATGCCCGGTGGTCTAAAAAGAGCGGGGGAGGGGGGGGAGGAGCAGACAAAATAAAAGTACGTATTAAATGTTAAATCTTCGAATATATATTGCCGTATCAAAGTCTCTTCTATAATAAACAATTTGACATGTATGGAGACGCATGATGTATCGTTATCCGCGTCCCGTTCACTTCGTCTTGTTTTTTAATTCAGCATCCCGTTCGCTCCGGACATTCGCTCATGGCACTGACAGTGGCCGTCGGTGAGCATTCGGTCTGCTCGGAGGAGCACGTGTTATTCACGTAATTAACGTGACGAGACTCCGATTATAAATATCCCGCGAGTCGACGAAATATTTGAACTTTTAAAAAAAGTATCAAAGAAAATCACGTTAATGTTGTCATTGGTAAAATCTCACCCCGGTATATATTTTCTTATTTTCGAAATAAAAAAAGCCAAACGAATGCAATTAAATGTTATTTATCATCATTGAATATTAAATGAAAAGTAGAAGAGTTATTGTCCGCAGCGGATAATCCCTGTATAAAATGACGAACTGAAACATATTAAAAAGTATTGACATTTTGAATACGTCTGAATTCTGCTTTCTGATCCGAAGAAAGGGAAAATAAAAAGTATTAGTTCCCATTAAATTTCACCGCGCTAAATGCGAGATGGCAGTAGTGAATGCTTCGCATTAACAAGGATTCAATTCGTTTCAAATATGCCTTGTATTCAATCGCAATCGATAATTTTTAAATGCGAACTTTCGTATTGAAAAATATTCACTTCTTCTCCTAATCGTTTTCGGATTCAGAGGCATACAAGATTTTCACGTTCTATTCCCCGTCGCATTAAAAAGTATTCACCCGCGATCCAATCTGAGAGCAGAATTCACGACAAAATCTCGTGAATGCGAAACAATACTTTTAAATACGACATTTTATACAGGACTAATATTTAATAAGAGCGCGACTAAATTCGCATAGGATGAAATTCCATTCTTTAACGCTACCATGACCTTTAATTATTCTCTGAAAACGGCGTCACAACAACTTACACTCTGTACAATTAGTTGCTAACACATTTTCTAATCGTATACATTCCTCTTTAATTAACATAAAGCTAACAAATGTCCGATGCTTCGACAGAGTAATTTTCTTTATTTTCAGTAATCAATAAATAGAGTGCATCAATGTCGCGTACAGTTGAAAGGCCTCCTCGCATTCCCCTCGTCGTTCCGAAACCTTCGAGAAAACAAGAGATGCTCAAAGGCAAGTCTCTCTTGCTTCAACCGCCGCCGAGGCCCGCAATGTTTACATCGCGCCGATTGTGTCGATCGGCTCGCGAGCGACGACACTTTTTGCCCTTCGTATTATAATACTCGCGCACCTCATGTATTCGACCTCATTCCATCAGCAGCAGCCGTGCGCGACGCTCTCGTCACTTCCATCTCGTGTAATTAAAAGAAATATATCTCGTCGGTCCTCGAGATACTCAATCGGCATCGCGTCGGCATCTCATTCATTAACTGCACGGTCGAATCGCGAGTATCAGCATTAGAAGCATGAGCGAGTGAAATCCGGAGGACTTCAGCAGTCGAGAAGCAGAACGCCGGCAGCGATACGTCACGTTTCCAGGTATGTGGAATCATTTATTACGCGGGAGGTCTCCGATAACGAGAACGTACGTTTGACGAATTTTCCGGGAATAAGAAGTCGGAATTTCGCGCTCGGCATTCACAATCCGTCATCATCCGACTAGTAATCATCACTTTATGAATTTGCAATTACTCTCGTCAATTTCTGTCTGTCTATCTATTTATTGCGTTGTTATATACAAAAGATATTGATCCAGACAGAGACGGATAATGGTCCATGGACGTGGATCTCGAATTCATCATGTTCTCAATCAAACATTCTGAATCATTCCCAATTTCTGTGTGAGAATATTGGTCTTGTGTAGAATATTCAACGTCATATCGCTTCTTAGACTGCGACCTTTTTTGTTTTCAGTCAGCGCTTCTTTCAAGTTTGTTTACTCTTGTTACGGGATCTGAATTTAAATGTCCATCCGTAAAAGAATATTTTCGAGAGCACACAACTGTTGTCTCCGCTTCTTATTGTCATTTTCTTTCGTCAGCTCTTTCAAGAGCTCCTATCTAGACATTCAATGTCAATAAAGAAAAAAAATCGTAGCGAATATTCTCCACTCATCCCGACCAACCATTTTTTCTCTACCGCAGCTTACCAACCAAGAACGCTAAATTTTTGTTCCAGACGTTGCGGGAAACAAGTCCGGCGGACGCGGATGCCGCACCGGAGGATCCGGTTCGGGCAGAGCAGGGTCGGCCGGAAGGTAAAGTTTACAAGTTTCCTACACATCTGTGTCCAACTCTTTACGATCTTTGCCTTTGTAACTTGTTCCTCATCAGCTCTCTTGAAAGCTTCAAGTCCCATTTAAATTTTCAATGTTGGAACAAAAATATAAAGATAAAAATTCCGTATCAAAATATATCCGTATTTTCGATTGGTCCCGATCAAAGATATTCTCTCTCTACAGCGGGTTATCAACCGGGAAAATTATTTTTCTGTTTCAGTTGTTGCGAAAAGCAACAGCAATCCAGTGGACGCGGATGCCATACCGGAAAATCCGGTTCGGGCGAAGCAGAGTCGGCTTGAAGGTAAGTTTACAAGTTTACTATAGTCCTCTGTTTGACCCTTGGCGATCTAGAGCTGGGATATAATTTCCGGCTCGACTTGAATTACGATCGCAGAGGGTAAACTACTCTTTTACTCGCCCGCACTCGTTGGTCAAATCTGATGAGCAAATGTGAATTTTCTGTTACAGAGTTGAAGCGGAACGTGGCCGGCTCTGACTGCAAGTCGTTTCGGTGAGTCAA